GATAAACATTTTTTTTCCATGCACATACTTTTTTTTTTTTTTTTTCTCGTTTCGTTTTATATATATGTATATATGTATATATTTTACATGCAAACATTACTTAATTCAAAGTACAGCCACTACGAGACTGGTTCTGGATGCAGAAAACTGATCGGTGCAATTCAAGTTTGGCAACTCACTATGAGGAATCTCGGAAATATTATGGATGCGTTGAAGAGACAGCAGAGAGGCTGCAAAAAAAGGTCAGGGAAGGGTTATGAACAGTTGTGGTCAGGCTTGGCTGTCACTGCCATCGACCCCTGCGAGATTTAGACAACTTAAAATGCTTCTTCATGTTCTGCCTAAGAATTGGGGGTGACCCAAGGCTGTGTTTTAGTGCAGGGCTGGGGGTTTTGGGGGGGTCTAAAACGGGACAGGAAGGGGGAAAAGACAGAATTATTCCGTACAGAAAGACATCTCTTTTGCTTCCCATTTTTTTTTTACAACGTTTGCATGCACGGGCAGAGAGATTGTGTTTCCCCTCCCCTTCAACCTCCTGGAGTAAAAGAGGAACGTTTTCTTTAAAACTTTTCAAACAAAGGGTTTGTGCCTTCGTTTAAGGGAGGGAAAAAAAAAATAAATAAACGTATCAAACATTTGGTCACAATCACGCTGAAGCCTGAAACAGGAAAATCCAGCAGATAAAGCTACGGGATGGATGAGGGTCTTTCTGACTGTGGGTGGTTTGGATGTGTGTCCGAACGTGTCATCTTGTTGCATAGCCCTCCTTTTGGGAATCCCAGCCCGGCCCACGGGGAGCTCCGGCTGCCACACTGCCGTGATTGGAAGTGCACAGAAAAAATACAGAGACAGAGATACAGACGGGAGTTCTCCTTCAGCAGAATCCAGGGATGAGATCGGCCAGAGGTTGTTATTAACGGAACGAAAGGAAAAAAAAAAAAACCAACACGGAAGGAAACGGAAAAAAACCCCAACAAACCAAAAACAGGTTGAATTTCCTCAACGGAAGAGCTACAGGAGATGTGAAGAACCACCCTACAGCAAACTGCTCCCTGCCTGAGGCTGAAAGGCTTTTGCTGAGAGCACGAGAGACCTCCTGAGCGTTTTGGTAGCATCCAATACCCTCCAACCTCCCCAGTGCCAAACAGGATCACCGGGATCCAGCGGGATCTCTCCCCGTCCTAAGCAACCACTTCATCTGGAGAAGCTTCACAGTTCTGGGGCTTGGGAGATCCTCTGAAAAAATTCCTCCGTGCAACCCTCTCCTCCTTCCTACCAGGGTTTTTAGGGATGTGCTTGTCTGACACCTCCCACCCTTCTTCCTTCCACCTTTATTCCTGGTGTCCTCTGGCCACCCTGTGCCCCAAAGCAGCCCTACAACAGCTCAGCAGAGCCAGGGATGGGAGGTCCTGCCCAAGCTTGGCTTCCAGCCTCCCTCCCCGCCAGCACAGCGCGTTTGCCCCTTTGCCAGGCTCACAGTGCAGAAATCCACAGGGGCACAGAAGAAAGAAATCATCCAACGCAAAAGTCGTTGCAAGAACACAGAAATCTCATCCCTGAGAATCAGAGTTAGAGGTTTTGATTATTATTATTATTATTATTCTTTTGACCTTCTCTTAACAGGCAATAAAACCAAGGCTCACTCCAACTGCCCTGCACAAGGATGATGCCCCACGGAGCACGGCCAGAGCTCTCACAGTCCGGGTGAGACGCTGCTCCTCCTGCAAGAGCATCCCTGCAGATGCTGGACTCTTCCACCTGCATCCCTCCCTCAGAGCTAGTCAATGAGAAAAGGCCGGGTTTGTTTGCTGCAATCACTCCCCTCCCACCGATAAAACCAAACCAAATCAAATCAAATAATAATAATTTAAAAAAAGGCCCAACAAAACCCAAACCAACCCCAAAGCGTGTTTGCCTTCCCCGCTGGAAGCTTCCAACCTGGCACTCGAGTGCACTGTGGGGGCGGTGGGAGCCCCGTGGACCCTCCAGGGCGAGGGGCTCTCCGGGCTCTGCCCTCCCTCCTGCCCCTCCTGCCCTCCCCACGCTCGCCCAAGGTCTGATGCATCGAAGCAAAGAGGTTGCATCGTCACTGTGAAAGATTTCAAAGGTTAGGCACTTAGTAGTGAACAACTGGAGCATTCGGTAGAAACGGTGGGACCTGGAATGACAGTTGGACTAATTCTCTACATAAAGAGTAAATTTTTTTTTTCTCTTTTTTTTTCTTTTTTTTCTTTTTACTGTACAATTTACAAAAATGCACACAATGAAAAGTTAAAGTTCTATCTAATAGCTTGATATAAAACCAATAACATTTCTTCTTCTCACCCCTACGCTTTTTCCTCTTTTTTTTGTTTTTTTTTTTTCCCTTTTTTTTCCTTCAGGATAATTTTTTTTTTTTTAAAGTGGGGGGGTTTTTTGGGGGTTTTTTTTTTTTGCTAAATCAAGCTTATATTGTAAACAAGACAAAACAGTGAGGGGCGTGTTGCAGAGAGGGGCGGAATGGAAAGTCTCAGCAGCAAGGAAAACAGTCCTTACAAAGTAGCTCTCTTGTGGCTTCGTGGTGTGTCAGCGTGAAGGACCCGAGGTGGTGGGTGGGGTAAGAGGGACCCCCACGGCAGCGCTGTCACAGCAGGGTCCCGGCTGCCGGGGTCACCTCTGGGGTGGGGGTGGCACCAGCTCTGCCAAAAAGGAATTCCTGTGGCTGAACATCAAGTCCCAGTGGACTGTCCTTTGTTCCGGGCTGTGTTCCTCCTCTCCCAGTTGCTCGGGTACATCTCTCCCTTCGGAGCGGCCGGCGAGGCCGAGCGCGGGCGTGATCCTTGTCCCCGTGTGTCCTTTGCGACCCCCGACTCCCACCCTGACCGGGGAGGGGAAAGAATGATGCTGATAAATTAACTGAGAAATAGCCCAACAAAAACTGCGCCGATCTCGGGAAGGACGGACAGTCTGCTCTTCCACCACTGAAGGTGAGGATCCCTCTTCTCTCGGCTTCTCGCCTCTGTCGCCAATTTGGCATCTGGTGCGTGTCTGTGACTAGACAGGGCAGTGGGGAGGCGGGCCGGGGGGACAGAGAGATGTGCTGCCTTCCCCCAAAGGAGGAAGCCTTCTTCCTCCGTTCGTCTAGTGCAAAAAAAAATAAATAAAATAAAATAAAAAAATAAAAATAAATAAAGAACAAAGAGAGGAGAGAGGCTGCAGGAGCGTCTCCGGCCCCGGGGGCGCAGAGCAGTTCTCGTGGCAGGGGCTGCCCCGCCGGCCTTCCAGATGATAAAACTCATCATAATTAAACCCGCCCGCCGCGGAGGGCTCTGCCAGGCCACTAGCACCAGTCGTCCTCGTCGGCTTCGTGGTAGTAGCTACGTCCTCTGGTGCCGGCGCCGGGGCCCGTGTTGAGCCCCAGCGTGTAGTGGTAGCCGTTGGGCACGCGGCGGATTTGGTGCGACTGGGAGGTCAGGGAGGAGACGTAGGAAGTCCTTGAGGAGCGCCCCGAGTTGGTGGCCACGGCCTCCTCGAAGGTGAGCGTGTCCTCGGGCGCGGCGCGCGAGGGGCTGTCGGCGTCGTCGCGGGGCCCCAGGTAGGGGTCGGAGCCGGTGCGGGCCACGGGCGGCGGGGGCGGCTGGTGCTCCCCGCGGAGCAGCGCGTTGTGCTCCGACAGACCGCGGCTCAGGCGTCCCGGGGAGAAGGTGGGGAGGCCGGGTTGGATACTGGTGAAGTGCACGGGCGAGGAGTTAGCGGTCTTGTAAGTGATGCTGGGGCGTGGGGTCAGTGGAGTCTGTGGGAGCTGCCTCCGACCCCGGCATGGGGTACTAGCACCAGATGTCGACAGCAAGGGGCTCCCATTAACTGAACCACTGCCCTACATAAAAATTGGAACAAAGCAAATCAAAAAATAAAAAAGGGGGAAACACCGGACAAACACAAAGGCAGGCAGGTGTAAAACAGAAGGAGAAGCAACAGAAGGGAGAGACAAGTCACAAGAGGGAAGAGAAGCAAAAAAGAGAGAGTTTAGACAAGCACGGTCAGGGGGAGGAGGTTCTCCAGAAATAATTCAACACGAGATGTAAAAGAGCTGGAGAGTTCAAAGTTCTGCGAGCGGGTGAGTAAGGACGGGGAGGGGCAGAGCATCGGTAGGACGCAAACTGGGACACGGCTCCGACAGGAGGGGACACTGCCCGGGGGAAGGACCCACAGCATACACAGGCTCCACATGCGCCTTACCTGGACTGGGCAGGAGCAGCTCAAAAACCCGCTTCGTTCGGGGCATTTTAGACAAAACCAAATCTGCTTTGGGGTGGATTTGTGCAGAACTGCACCCAAGGGTCGGGCTGGTCTAGCGGGAGGGGTCCCTGCTCGTGGCGGGGGGATGGAACGAGATGAGCTTTAAGCTCCAACCCAAACCGTTTTGGGATTCTGGGATTCTGTTTCTGAGGTCAGATCTGGATGGTGTGGGAGGAGGATCCGGGGGACTGGGTTTTTTGGTACATTGGAAATTATATGTATTTTGATTAAATAGCCATTTTCTGCAAAAATAACAACAACAAAAAGCTTTTTGGGCAGGCTTGAACTAACAATTTCCTTTAACAGAAATGTGTCACCTTCTCTTTTATATTACACATTTGATTTTTGAGTGGTAGAACAGCCTGGCAGCTTTCCTGGGTTACTAATAACGACACATGAGAGTGACCTAAGCTGCAGTAATTTAAAAAAAATACCATAAGTGAGAGGAACAGGCCCTTGTTTCGGCATTTGAGTTTACATTCTCCCAGGGCAGTACATGACCAGCCCTGTGAGAGTGTTTTAAAAATCCTTCAGCCTTTTGTGACCTAACATTTTGAGACCAGACCTTTAATTTTTAAAGAGCAGTTTTCCTTCCTATCAAACAATCGGGTTGTTGCTTGTCGGGCTGTCAATCAGGGCTTGTTCTGCTCTGCCTGGGTTTTTTCCCGTGTGGTTTTCCTGGCAAATCCAGCAGTGCTGGAGGCTGCCTGAAGAAAAGGAGGCTCAAGGGGGACCTTCTGGCTCTCTGCAACTCCCTGACA